GTAAGTACAGCCATTACAGAATTTGTCCTTTCATGTTTTACTTATTTTATGTAGTATAATGCCTTCATTACACTAAGTCCTCAAGGGTCACCCATGTTATGCTATGTATCAGTTAATAATTCATTCATTTTTAAGGTAGATTAGTCAATTATATATATATAGAGAGAGAGTTCTGTTTTGTTGTTTATTAATTTTTCAATGGGCATCTAGGTTGTTTCTACTTTCAACTACTGTGAAAGTGTTGCTATTGGTGTATAAGCATTTACTTGAATCTGTTTTCAGTTCTTTTGGCAAATATACTCAGGTGAAATTTCTGGATAATTAGATGCTTAATTTTTTGAGGAAATGCTAAAATGTTTTCCACAATGGTGGTACCATTTTGATTCTGACTGGCAATGTACAAGTCTTATAGTTTCTCCCAATCTGAATTATCCCTTTTGTTCTCCATGCTAATAAGCAGTTTTACATAAAATAAGCATCCAATAAAGTTTGTCCAGTGAATGGCATTGCTAACTTCAAATAAAAATCACAATCGTTGCCTGGCACCGGTGGCTCATGCCTGTAATCCTAGCTACTCAGGAGGCTGAGATCTGAGGATCGTGGTTCAAAGCCAGCCCGGGCAGGAAAGTCTGTGGCACTGTGGCTCAAGAGGTAGAGTGCTTGCCTTGAGCTGAAGAGCGCAGGGACAGCGCCCAAGCCCAGAGTTCAAGCCCCACGACTGACAAAAAAAAATTCACAATCACTGTTAATAGGAACTTAATTTTAATATTAACAATAAACTACTTTGTTTTACGACAGTACAAAAATACATATTATAGAAAGTAAAATTACACAGAGAGCTACTCATATGAATAAAAAAGTAAAAGATATCAAGTGATACATTAGAAACAATGTTTTAAAGAGTCCCTTTTACTTAAATTACAAAAGTCTCTTTCTGATGATATTAAAGTAAGCTTAAATTGTTAAATAATAAAAATCTTAGCAAAGACTTGACTGGAGTTTTAACTCTTGCTACTTCAGCTATATATGAGGAATAAGTCTTTGTGAGAGACTGATGGGTTTATGTGTGTGAGACAGTGAGTGTAAGTGTTCAAGTATGTGAGCACACATAGGTGAAACATAGGAAAGAATCACAGAATAAATACCTTCAGTTGCAAGGAAAAACTTTCACTTAACCTTCAGGCTGGTAGTATACTCTATTTACAAAAGCTACGGGGATTTATAAACCCTTCCTGCTGCCATACTGCAAGGCACTCTATAGAAGGTAAGCATAGTTTGTGGAGAAGACACTGGGGAAAGTGAACAATTTGAAATTTCAGCATTTGCAAGATGTGAAGCAACTAACAACAACAGTGGTATTTAAAGCTAAAGAAAAACTACTGATTAAAGTCTGATTAAACTCTCAACAACCAAAAGTAAAAAGACAGAATTATAAATATGGTTCCAACATAAGCAAATCAGTTTTTATTGTTCACATAAGGGTTTGAAATTTATTATTAAATGGCTACATTTCACTGAGATGAGCCAGACAAAAGGCTGGATGAATTAAAGAAAAACTGTAACCTTAAATAGCTAACCTACCAAATTTTGTATAGCTTCAATTGTTTAATATCTCTTCCATATAAGACCTGTTTTATCTTTTTTATTTCTAAAATTATTTAAGGTAGTTTCATCTTTCTCATCACATAAGGCATTAAAATTACCATCTCTGATTTCTTCTTTCTGACCATTTCATCCAATCTCATTGCAATATATCCATTTACTATGTTGTGAATCAGATATATACTACCCTTTCTATTTCCAGAAATAGAGGAGTGACCACCCTCGTTACTCTTTACCTAGACTGCCTTATTGCTCCCAGCCCTTTTTTTCTCTTCAAACCATCCTAGAAGCTGATCTCATAGACTTGTCTAAAGAACACTTTTGTTTTCCCCTGTCTTCTCAAAATCTTGTATAGTGTGGTCCCAGCCTACTTTTCCTCTCCCCACTCCTACTTTCTATAGAAAAATTAGTTTTGGATGCTTATTGTATCTTACTTAACCATTTCATAGCTTCTTTGTATATTTTATAAATTATAAGAAATTTAAAAACATATTGACATGAAAAGTTAATATAAATACAAATGTTCAAAGATGAAAGAATGAAACGTAGCTATGTCATTGAAAAATGAAAGCAGATCTTAGGCTTTTTCCCCCCACTGTGGTTCTTACTATTGGAAATCTCTGAGGACAAAGGTAAACTGCAGAAAAATATCAAATATATATAAAATTACCAATAGGACAACTTGAAATAATGATGACAAATATTTGCACTCTGAATCAAATACTTGTAAGCTGTGATTTTAGAGATTTTATTCCTCATTCACTTTTGGCTAACAACAGCACTAGATATTTCATTGTATACTTCCACATTGCCACAGAGCAGAATTGCTATTCTATTTTGTGGTAACTATTTTGTTGATATAAATTTCATCAAATGAATACAGGCAAATTTTTAACAACAACTATATCTATAACCTGTTCCTTAAGAAAAAACATGGGGTTAGGATTTACACTCTATAACTTTAGGATTGTATGTATCACATACAATATATAATACAGAGGGAGGGTAGAAAAGATTTCTTATTATTTTATCATTGAAATATTTCAGTACTATACCAGCTTCAAATTAAATAGCATTTAAGGGAGTATGCTCAATTCTTTTACTTGAAGATTATGTAAAACTCAAAAGCAAGAAGGAATAACCCATAAACTAAATCAAGGGTATGAATGAACGTAGTTATACATTTTTTCTATATGATTTTGTGAGCATCTTAGACTCAAAAAAAACTGGTAGGAAAAGAAAGTGTTTTTAAAATTGCAGGACAAATATAATTGCTGGGATTGAGTGAGAAGAAAAGAAGTCTAACAGCAACAACAACAACAACAAAAAGAAGATATTTTCTATTTTATAGATTTTTCTCTTGGGTATGATTATAAAGTGACATTCAAGTGCAACCAATGAAGTTCCTATTTTTTTCCCTCACAAAATCCAAAGACATCAGCAAAACCATGTATGTCAGTAATAAAAATAAAAAGTCTTTGACTTTTTAAATGTTATCATACTGTCAAAGTGGAATAAAATTAGCTTGAAAAATGATCTAAAGGCACATGATGCAGTTCATTATGTATAACAGCAACAGCAGCGGTTTCCCAGTGTTCATAAAGGCTGCTCCATTAAATTTACCTCCAGTCAATAATTAGGAGTCCACAAATAAACCTGGGCAATTAAATCAATACTACCAGGCAATTATATTCCAGAGTCCAGGCGCAGTGGCACTAAAAGGCACTATATCAAACTGCAGTGTTAAGCAGTCTGATGCTATTTTCAGCATGATTTTTTACACTAACTGGACAGAATAAGCATATAGCTAGATATTGTAGAATGTATGATGTATGTATGTATGATGATTGCTACATGTATTAGGCAAAAATATCTGGTGTCTATCTATAGTTTCAGTGACATTTAATAAAGAGGTAAATACTGGTTTATTATTTTATGATCATAATTGATGATGTCTTATTAAAAGAAATATAAGGTCATGACTACAAGGTGAACATTCAAAAATTCATTAAGACGTTTATTTTCATTATTTTAATATGCAAAAAAATCCTTTCAACAATTATTAGTGAACTTCTTGAGATGGCAGATAAGGGATGGGTTGTGGCAAACAATATGGTTTTTCTTAAAAACCATTTTCTTAAGCCTTCTTCTCAAAAGTAAGTTGTCACTGTAAAAGGCTTTGTCTAGTGCCTGTTCATCTGTACTTGACTTCAAGAAAAGGTGGTTCCTTCACCTTCTATGATTATTGAAACTGTTTTAGAGGTTTCAAAAATAAGTAAAGTTAATACTGATTATGCACATTTTATATATCATTTACTTATTCCTGACTTAAATAAAATTAACATAAACAGAAAGCAATTGCACTTAATACCACTTCTACTCTTAATCTTTGCATAGTATCTTTACATAGTATATTTGCATACGAAAACCATAGGCTGATAGGAATTTTTGCTAGTTTGACAAATATATTTTAGCTTTTCCTTACTCCAGATCAGTTTCAAAGTAAGCAATTAGAAAAAGCAAAAAGAACTGTGATGAAAAAGTTTGAGAATATATTACACACTGTCAGTGATGTCAAAACAAAAGCTGGCTATGACTAGAAAAGCAGGGCTCTCACCTGCCAATAAACTGCCCTTGATCACTTACAAGAGGGGCACATCCCAGAAGACTATATGCGTATTAAAAAAAAAAAAACACTTGAAAGGAAAGAAAAAGTATCACACAGGTCACAGCAGCAGTCTCAATAGACCCCTCAGGGATTTCAACTCGTCTTGGCCTTGTCATCCTCTATGCAGCTTTCCACTCGGCCCAGAAAATGTCGATAGGAAAATGTTTGAGGGGCCTCTGGTGGAAATTTTTTCATTCTTTCTGCATTGACAGGATGCCAAATCAATATTTACTTCCCACTAACAAGCTGCTCGAGGTCTCAGTAGAAAATATTGTAGAGAATGCGGGAAGACACAGTAATAAACAGCTGTCTGGCTGTGAGGAAAACATGAATTGACTGGAAACAGGTCCATAGTAAAAGGTCACTGAAACCCATGAACTCCTCAGGTGTCCATATCAACTACTAACTTTAAAGACACATAATAAAGAATTTCTTTTCCTAAGAGGTCTGAGAGAATGGATCCTTTTCAATCTAGCAAGCATAGAGGTTGGCTCAATAATTTAATTAATGCATTTGCTAAACCCATGTTGGCTCTTTCCCAAGGCATTTATTTCATTTGTTAAGTCCAAAAGTACAAATAGAGGGTTAACTTTCTTGTCTATCTTTTGGAATACTTCTTTATCTAACAGACGTAAATAATGAGTATTTGCAAAGTTAGACATCTAGTAAAAGTGTGAGTCTTGGAATTTTTATTGGAAAGTTTTAATATATGAAGCAAAAAATGAAATACCTGTCCTTCAAGAAGTTTCTGAATGTACAACAGCCATTCCTTCTCATTTTCAGCATCTACCTTTGTCTTTTCAATTTCCTAAAGAAAGTAGAATCATTGATATTAATTGAATTTATACAAACTTGGTCATATTAGGAAGTACATTTAGTAAATAAATCTAGAGGGGCATCTGTGATATGATTTTAACAAGAGTGTCCCCTCAAAGTAAGAATATTTAAATCTGTGCCTGCTAATAATTTACAGATTTTTCAAATATATGGAAGATATTATATTTCTATATTTCACAATAGTATAGAAATATTTTATGTCTGCTTTCATAGTGGAGCTCAAGATAAGGACTGAATGGGAGTGAAAGAGATTAAAACCAAGTGAAAAGAAAGACAAAGCTGACTAAAAGAATCGCTTCAGTGATATTTAAAAATTGAAGTTGAAAACAGGTAAATGAGGTATAATTGGTATAAACTGAATAGAAAATGGCACAACTATATATTTAAGTCCTTGTTGACTTAAAATATTCAAAGGTTTACTAAGAGCAAAGGACAGTCTAACTTAATATGCTGAAGTCATGATTTTTAAGCCAACATTTCTAAAATTATAGTGTATTTGATTATTTACTTAAAATTATAAGTTTATTCACAAAATGGACTTTATGAAACATTTGAGAAAGTAACATTTGTTGAAATTTCCTATATGCCAGGCTTCAAGCTAGGAACTTCACAAGAATTTCATAGTTTTAGACATGATTTTATCAATCTGATGCAGCTTCAAGGACATAAGTTGAGCTGAGTGCTGGTAGCTCATGTCTTTAATCTTAGCTATTCAGGAGGCTGAAATCTGACTATCAGGACTTAAGCCAACCTGGGCAGACAAATCACAAAGATTTTTATCTTCAATTAACTAGATAAAAGCCAAAGTGGAGGCATGGCTCAAGTGAAAGAGCACTAGCCATGAGGGGAAAAAACACATAAAAGAATGAGGCCCTAACTTCACACCCCAATTCTTGCACAGAAAAATAAAAGAACATAAACTGAATGCTTTGGACTCTCTTTGGGCAAGACACACCACTCCTTATATCCCAAACTAAGCAAGTATCAGTGTAAATAAGTTCTGATCCATAATTAAAGCTAGTAAGCATATTTCAGAGTATACTGATATTTCTCAGAACTTTTTGTTTGTACTTGAATATGGAATGAAAAATCATAGTGTGTACGTGTTCTCTGGCTCAATCTGCATCAGCCTAGAGGCAAGTGTACCATTTCTTCACACACCAATGAGTCCTCTAACTTTTTGAGAAATAACAACAGACCCTGTTCTAAGTTATTTAAACTTAAATGAGATAAGTTATCCTAATGTATTCATTCAAAGGGGGTGCTTTTTCCCAAACTTTTCACCCCAGAGAGGACATCTAAAATGCCAAATAAAGACAGTAGTTGTAAATTCCCAAATATGCACATATATACATGTGTGTATATACACATACATGAGAGATTTTGCTAGATTTGTTTATGATAAAACCCCCAGACAATGATAAAATTCTGAATCCTAATTTTTGTTGTTTTTTATTATTAATCAAGAAAATTTAAATTAAATATCTGTAATAAAGTACAGTTAACATTCTGGCTAAAGGTATTCCTATCACCCATGTGTTTTATATTTGATACTACCTTTAATAATGGTCTTGGATTTGAAAGTTCAGAATTTTATAGTCACAAACATTGTGGTATAACTGCTAATAGTGGAAAACATAATTCATTAGTCATTTATAGGATGTTAAATAATACTTGAAGAATTCCTTTGACTCTTTTCAAATAATTGTTGGCAGTTAAAAGATGTTACAGACTGTTCTACTACAGAGTATCTTTTAGGAGCTGACAGAGTGTGTGGTGGGAGGAGTCTCATACAAACATGTAAGTGTGCCAGGTGCTCACACCTGTAATCCTAGCTACTCAGGAGGCTGAGATCTGAGGATCGAGGTTCAAAGCCAGCACGGGTAGGAAAGTCTGTGAAACTCTTATCTCTAATAAACCACCAGAAAACTGGAAGTGGCGCTGTAGCTCAAGTGGTAGAGCGCTAGCCTTGAGCTGAAGAGCTGAGGGATAGTGCTCAGGCCCAGAGTTCAAGCCCCACGACCAACCAAAAAAAAAAAAAAAACAACAAAAAACAAAAAAAAATGTAAGTGTATCATTTCTTCACCAAGAAAATATTTATTTGGATGTTCTGGGCAACATTATTTCTTTAATCTTTCCAAGCAATAAAAGAATTTAATATTCATGTTAGAGTTCAAAGGCATCACAGAACAAGATTAAACATCTTCCACAGGTTTCAAATAATACTGTGCATAGAAGAGATTCTCTGTTTATATTGTAGTTATCCTATGTTAAAATTACATACTAAAATGAAGACCTATGCCTTTATGCATATAATTCATCTTCCAGAGTATTTTTCTCAATTTGAAACAATATTTTAATTTTTGCCAGTTCTGGGGCTTGAACTCAGGGCCTGGCACTGTCCCTGAACTTCCTTTGCTTAAGGCTCTCATGTGAGCCACAGCACCACTTTCAGATTTTTCTGTTTATTTGGTGCTGAGGAATTGAACCCAGAGCTTCATGCATGGTAGGCAAGCACTCTACCACTAAGCCACATTCCCAGATCCACAATAAATGTTTTTAACAGATAATTTTGAAGAAATATATTGCTAAAAATAATTTTGGAGTTGGGCACTAGGGGCACACGCCTGTAATCCTAGCTAATCAGGAGGCTGAGATTTGAGGATCCTGGTTCAAAGCCAGCCCTGGCAGGAAAATCTATGAGAGTCTTATTTACAATAAACCACTAGAAAACCAGAAGTGGTGCTGTGGCTCATGTGGTAGAGTGCTCGCCTTGAAGAGCACAGGGTCAGTACCCAAGCCCAGAGTTTAAGCCCCATGACTGACAATAATAATTTGGGGTTCAGCTAGAAAAGTCAATTTTTTTAAAAACACACATATGAGATTTTTAAAAAATCAAATCAACAGTGATTCTGCTTACCTGAATCCATTCAAATTGGCATGATTACAGTGTCATGCCAGGTACTACTAGTTCTCGCATATAATACTTAGGAGACTGAAGACTGAAGTTTGAAGCTAACCTGGGCAAAAAAGTATGAGATTACCTCTCCAAAGGAGTCATAGCACCAGTAATTACCTCAGTGAGCAAGTCAAGCAAGTGAGAGGCCTTGCATTCAACTCCTACCCTACATAAGAGAAAAACAACAACAAAAATAATGGCTTCAGAGCCAGGTGCATGGTGCATGCATATAATTACAACTGCTCTGGAGATGGAAATAGGAGGATGGTGGTCTGAGGTTGGATGAAACAAAAGGCATGAGATCCTATTGGAAAAAAATACTGTAAGGAAAAAAGGGCTGGGGCATGACTCAAGTGATAAAGAGTACTTGCCTCTACTCAAGTACAAAACCTTGAGTTAAACTCCTCGTACTCAAATAACCAAATAAATACATGAATACATAAATATATAAATAAATGGGAATAAATAGTAGCTTCAATGAGAGGCTGAGGTAAGAAAATCTTGATTCCAGGAGTTCAAGTCCATTCTAGCAAGATACTGCAGACCTGTTTGAATTTAAAAACAAAACTAAAGAATACGGCTTACAAAATAGAATTAATCAAATTAAAGAAATGGGAGAAGGCAGCTATGCTCACCACTATACTACCAACACTAACAAGGATTTCTTACAAAAGGTTCACAAAGGTTCAAAAGTTATGGGCATATGATCATATAAAATTATGTTTATTGAAATGAACTCCAAGAAATGGAAACAAGAGTCTTTTTGTTATTTGGTTTCTTTTTTTTTTTTCATCCTTTGACGCTGTTTTTGATTTCTGTACCTTTTGTCTTATACTTAAGTTTACCTGATTTGGGGAGAGCAAGGGGTAGCAGAGACATGGTGGGACAAAGGGTAAACAAATGCAGGAGTGATGCTCACTAGACACTACATTGAAAACGAACTATCCAACTTGTGGGGGAGGGGTCTGGAGGGAAAAACTGGGAGAAAATAATGGAAGAGGTGCCATTGTTCAAAAAGAAATGTACTTATTACTTTATGTAACTATAACCCCTCTGCACACCACCTTTACAATAACAATTAAAAAAAGAAAGTTGAGGAAATTGACATAAGTAACAATTCAAGAGGTTACAAATATAGGCTTATTTTTTGACTACATAGTTACATTTCTCTAAAGGTGTTTTGAGTTAATTAGTGCTCAATGTATATCTTTCATTGCCACCTTAACAATTTTTCCTTCATGAATATAATGTTAAAATTGAAATCCTACAAATTATGAAGCAAAAGAAGTATATACTTGCGAAGCCTTTACTATAAATACTTAAATGAATTTACCATTTCATCTTCTGTGTCCAATATTTCCTCTAGGTCTGAACGTGAAATATTCAGGATCGAAGCTGCCAGTGTCTGAGCTTTATGGGTTGAGGTTTTAGAAGTATTTCTGTTTCTCTGCATTTTTTCAGTCTCTCTGATTTGTCGTCTTATTGCATGGACATCATTTTGTAACTCTTTGACCAAAGCCTATAACATGTTGGAAAGGACATAGGCTCATATGAAAGTCATAATGGAGGCAAAGCATAAGAATATAAAGATACCAGAACATTTTAATACCCCAGAATCATTTTATAACATAAAATTGTTACAAACAGATCTTGATTTTATGCATAAGTTCTTTGAATGATCTATATTTCTCTCTTTGTTTCCATATTTACTATTATTAATTATTTCTACAAGTGGATTATTTTGACAGGTCATATATGTATTTTGATTTACCATTCACCTCCTCCCATCACTTTCCCTCCTCCACCATTTTTCCCAGATCAAATCTTAACCAACTTCATTGTTTTTTTTTTTTTTTTGCACACAAGCATATTTTTGCTACACTCACCCTCCTTCACCCTCTCTGTTGACATACAACACAGACACTCATGTACACACAAGTTCTCTGCAGAATGAATTCTGATGGTAAAAAAAAGTGTTCATATAGAAATGGTATGTACCTCTTAATACAAATAAGTTAAAGCACAGTTCTTTCCTTCAGTTTTCAGTCTGATCAGAAAACTATGTATCTAGACCATTCTTAGAACAGACACTAAGGTATATTAAAATTGACTCCTCAAGATTTTTATTTTTTTGGTGCTAGTAGGGTTTGAAGTCAGGGCCTTGGACTTGCCAGGCAGATGCTCTATCATTTTAGCCACATCTCCAGTCCATTTTACTTTAGTTTTAAGACTGGGTATTCCATGTTCTGCCCTGGGCCAGTCAGACAGCAGAATCCCCTTGTCTATGTTTCCTGTGTAGCTGGGAACACAAACATGCACCACCTGCCCAACTGTATTATTGAGAAGGGATCTTGCTAACTTTTGGCCTAGCCTGGCCTTGAAGCATACTCCTCTGTATCTCCTCTTCTTTTTTAAAAATTATTTTTTATTGTAAAGATATTGTACAGACTCATTACCTTACTCATGTAACTATAACCCCTCTGTACAGTATCTTCACAATAAAATATATATTAAAAATTTTTAGAAAATTAAAAAAAGATACTGTACAGAGAGGTTACAGTTACATGAGTAATGAGTACATTTCCTATCCCATGCATTGTTACCCCTCCTTTGTTTTTCCCCTACTATACCTTCCCTCTCCACCTCCCCAACTCCTCCCTCCACCTTCTCAAGTTATAAAGTTCATTTTCAATATAGTGTCTTATATGTCTCATTGTTACAATCGGTCAACTGTATCCTTATGTCAGTATTTTGTTATTTCCCTTCCCCTCCTCAAATTAGAAAAATGAATATATAAGGCACCGAAATCAAATACAGTGACAACTTATAGTAGCTATGTTTATAAGTCTGAGCCACTATACCCAGCTCCTTAAGAATTTAATGAACCTATTATGCCCCAGTTCTATAAGTAAAACAACTGACAATGTCTCTGTCCCACAAACTATTTTCTCTTTAAAGGGAAATATCCCCCCTTCATACAAACTATACTTCAGCCAGTTTGATCATGTATATATGCATATGGCCCTATGTGTATTTTACTATATGTTTATATATATATATATATATTTTTTTTTTTTAACCTAACTTCCACATAAGAAAGGAAATATGTGCTCATGGTCTCTCTGAGCCTGGCTGGCTTTACTCAAAGTAATTTTTTCCAATTTCATCCATTTTCCTGAAAATTACACAATATTATTCTTCTTGAGAGTTGGGTAAAATTCCATTGTATGTGTATGTGCATACATTTGTATATATGTATGTGTGTATATATATATATGTATTGTGTATATATATATATATGCGTGTATGTGAATATATACAGCATGTGTGTATACACATATGCACACAGATGCTTACACATTTTCTTTATATTGGTTGTAGGATAGGTGGGCTATGGTGACATGTAGCAATGGACATAGGTGTGCAAGTGTCTATTGTATGGTGACTTGCAATCTTTTGGATCAACATCTCCAACATTGCAGTTGTACTTTTAGTTTTTGTTTTGTTTTGTTTGCTGGTCCTGGGGTTTGAACTCAGGGCCTGGGTATTGTCCTTGAGCCTCTTTGTGCTCAAGGCTAGCATCTACAACTTGAGATATAGCACCACTTCCAGCTTTTTATAGTAATTTATTGGAGATAAAATCTTACAAGGACTTTTCTGCCAGGGCTGGCTTTAAACCTCAATCCTCAGATCTCAGCCTCTTAAGCAGCTAGGATTACACGTGCCCAGTTTATTTTTAGGTTTTTAAGGGATGGATCTCCATATTGCTTTCCACCATAGTTCCACTAATTTACAGCCAACAGTGTAAGAGGGTTCCTTTTCCCTCTCATTCTCACTAGCAGTTTTTATTCTTGATGATGGGCATGTAAATTGGAGTGAGATAGAAGCTCACTGTGTTTTTATTTGCATTTCTTTTTTGGCTAGGTATATTGAGCATTTCTTCAGGTATTTATTGGCTATTTTTATTTCTTATATCTATTTAGCTCCTTTGTCCTTGGGCTATTTTTAACAATAGCATCACTGTTATAGGCTTCAATTTTTAGGGGAGTGAGAGGGGAGGGGAATGAAGAATGTTCTTTTAATATATGACATAATATTATGAAAGCAGTTGTCACTTATATACAAACTCCAAGCAAGGAATTTTATTATTTGTAAATAAATACCTAAGGAAAATACAAACATACTATATGTTGAACAGAATAACCTCTCTACTGGAAGCTTAAGACATGTTCAACTACCAACATATCAAGAGAAAGAAAATAAAAACAGCTGATTTGAGATAACTAGCATACTAAAAATGCAATATAATTTTAATTCAACATATTGCTTCAGAAAAATCTAATGTCTGGGTCAAATGATGGGGTCATTTGTGAATGAATAGAGTAAGTAGTGGTGTAAATTTATGCTCTAAGGAAGATTTATAGTTTTACTTCCAAAACCACACATCAGTTACTATGAAATGACTTTTTTTTTTTTTTTGCCAGTCCTGCAAGCACTCTACCACTTGAGCCACAGTGCCACTTCCAGTTTTCTGATGGTTTATTGGAGATAAGAGTTTCACAGCTTTTCTTGCCTGGCCTAGCTTTGAACCGCTATCCTCAGATCTCAGCCTCCTCAGTAGCTAGGATTACAGGTGTGAGTCACTCGTGCCAACTATCCCTGAGCTTCTTTTGCTCAAGGCAAGAGCTCTGCCACTTGAGCCATACTGCTACTTCTAGCTTTTTCTAAGTACTTGATTGAGATAAGAGTTTCACAGAGTTTCCTGCCTGGGCTTGCTTCAAACTGAAATCCTCAGATCTCAGCCTCCTGATTAGATATGATTGCAGGCATGAGCCATTGGCACCTGTCTGAAATGACAATTTTTAATAGTGCCTATCTTCTGAAGGACAAAGCAGTGCAAGAAGCTCAATCTGGGAGGGAAAACTAGGAGAGAGCGAGGGGAGGGGTGGCATTGTCCAAAAAAATATTCTTTACTTGACTTATGTAACTCTAAGCACTTTGTCTATCCATTTTATAATAAGAATAAAATATTAAATTTAAAAAAGATCAATCTCATCAGACTGCAAAGAAGAGAATACTATGAAATGGGGGGGGGGGGGAGGAAAGGGAGAAATAAAGGAGTAGCTTTCCCACTATAAAATGTCTTAGTTCTTTCTTATAAAGGCCAAGAAAACTGCCACTAAACTTTCACACTCAATGAAAATTTTAATTAGAGATCATAATTTTGTGCCTTTCCTTTGCAAGACACTATGGTATATACTGTGGAGATAAGTATTAATAAAATATTGTCCTAGTTTATAAGGACCTCAACATGATCTATCTAGTGGAAATAAAATTACTTACCAACCATATTACACAGAAGAATAAAAGGTATTAACTAGAATAAGCAAATTGCAGTGGAACCAAAAGGTACAGAAAGATCAAGGACTCCAATCCTTAGTACCTTTGAATCTAAAGCCTTATCTCCTCAGCTTCTCCAGAGGCCTAAGGGAAAATTATTGCTGGCAATATGGGGTGAAACTGCAAATCAACAGCAAAGTACATATCTGCCTTTCCTCTAGCATTCACAGCTTTGCTGGTTCTCTGTGCACCCAATTTCTATGCCTTTCTAGAGTTGCTTTTTTAGTTAATTTCTAGATGACATACTTTTGCCATTCCTAATCTACAATCATCAATCTTCTCTTTGTCTTGTTAACAATTTATCACTCCTATATATAGTCTATGTCTTAACAGATTTTAGACTGGACTTCAAATGTCTTTGGGCTTTACTGAACAAGTTCTATTTGTTCTTATTCCTTGGGTGATTTTCAAAATGAGGACAGAGTGATAATAACTCAATTCTTTAATCTCAAATCTATATCTACTGTTTGACTATTATAGTTATTAAGCTGATATTAAAAGATACATAGTAATAGTGAAGGCAATCTCAAAATTCAAACTATAAAAATATTTTATAGAGAATTGTGAATGTTATGACCCAGAGAGAAGGGTGAGGAAGACAGAAAGAAATCATCTGAAGCAGACTGTAGCATATTCTGTATGAAGTAAAGTGCAAGTAAAGTAAATCACATTTAATTCATACCTTCACAAATATGGTAAACTCTTTCACTTTCTCATTGGCTAGCAGCAATTTCTTCTGTGCACCTTCTAGGGCCTGCTCACTTTGCAGTGCTAATCCCTGCAGCTGTTTAGATGCTGCTGTCTCAATTTCTGCCATTGCAGATTCAGTCTCGTTTATTTTTGATGCTAGGAGAGTAAGCTTGAAATCCTGTAAGAAATCAGTAAACATAATATTAAAAAACTGTGTGCACAGATTTGGAAGAATTGAGTTAATTATAAGACGGGGAAAGGGTTTTATTACTCTACATATGTATTTATTTTTATTTGGAGAAAAACAGTAATTATTTTTATTTTTGCTAATACAGCACTATAACTAATTCTTTTTTTTTTTTTGGGGGGGGGGGGGGGGAGTCCGGTCGTGGGCCTGAACTCTGGGCCTGGGCGCTGTCCCTCAGCTCTTCAGCTCAAGGCTAGCACTCTACCACTTGAGGCACAGCACCACTTCCAGCTTTTTTTCTTTTTGCTTATGTGGTGCTGAGGAATCGAACCCAGGGCCTCATGCATGCAAGGCAAGCACTCTACTACTGAGCTACCTTCCCAGCCCTATAACTAATTCTTATTAGTATAACTAATTATTCTTGGCATTTCTTGTAAAATGTAATGTTTCTTGTGGTTATGTGAAACTTTATAGTAGCTCATAGAGTTTGGGGACAAAAAGTAACAATGTCAAAAGCAGAAAAGAAATTGTTATATTCCATGTTTTAGATAATCATATCTAAAAAATATACCTTTTTTTCTAACTCCTCTTTAGTTTTCTGATACATCTGTTCATACTGTGACTTCTCTTTGACTGCAACATTAAGTCTTTGCTTTAGTGAATCAATTGATATCTTCTTATTGGAACATTCTTCAGTTAATGTCTTTACCTATAGTAAAATTATAAAAGTAACTTATTGGTAAAGGCATTATAACAGTATCAACTCACATAATGAAACTAACAAGTGCCAAGTTAATGATAAAAACCACAGAAATGAAAAATATGTACATAAAAATAATAGCATTTATTCATTATTTTGAATAGAAAAGATTTTCAATAAAATGCAACATACAAAAATTATAAAACTATCTCTGAAATTACTATAGAAGTTAAAGAATTAGAAAATGTTAAAGAATAAAACTGAAAAAAACTGACAGGATTGATAGGTAGGTACTATCATTTACATTAAATTCATGCAAATTTTTTGCTTGAAATCCATTTGAGCTAATAGTTAGACTTTAGTGAATGCCAAAGCACAGGCTACTTTATGAGTTTAACAAATGCCAACTTTTTCATTTTATAAACAAAAACTTTCTACTTGTGAACATTACACAATTATTTTAAATGTATGTTCTTTCCACATATAAAGAATTAAATATGTAGAAGAAAAAGGACACTTTTTACAGAATAATTAATGGTTATTGTTGTTAATAGTTCTATTGGTATATAAACATGATTCTAGTATTATACACTATAGCCTTAAATAACACAAAATACTAACCAAAATGCAATCATATACAAAAGGAATAATAAAGATTTTGAAAATTAAATGTATCTTCTTATGGGGCAGCTACAAATAAAAACAATGTGTGGCTATATTGTATATGGGACTTTAGAGTCTTGAATTTTAAGACAAAATGTATCATCAGAGAAAATAGTATTTTAATAACGGTGTATCATATAATTTTATTAGTATTGGATATCTGAGTTAAGAAAGTACACAGAGTAGGTAATTTTCTACTGTCAACGAACATAAAAGTTTTACCTTTTTTTCAAGATTTTCTAATATTTCACTATAACTCTCATGGTTTTCTGAATTCACTTTCTGTCGAAATTTCAAATCCTCTATCAAATGTCTTTTCATAGTTATATCTCTCTCCATGCGAGACATCCTTGAAAGTAAAAAGAAATATTTTTTTGTCAAGAGAATAGAAAATATTCTTAATAATTCCTTATCTTACAGAGTATGTCCAGTGTTATACCTACTATTAGCTGTCAGTGTTATCTGATTTTAGTGAAATTATAAATTAGTAAAATAAACTGCACTGAGTAAAATGACCTGAATTTGACATGATCATAGTCTCATATGTATTCATTAAAGCACAGATTATTGAAACTCATAAAAGTACAAAGATTATTGAAACTCATAAAAGCAGAACTGTTGTATTTACATTACATTTTGCCTGCTTAGAAAAACTGAGGTGATATTTATATAATCAAAACCATAACAATGTTAAAAACAATCCTATAATTTAATAAACAAGTTAAAATCTTGTCTATGCAATTAAAATTAGACATGATATCCTCTAGTTTAAAATAATTTAAGACGGGATTCACGTATCAGTTTAGGTTAAGATAGTAAAATATTAAGGATGATAGATGAAGTACTTGTACTATTATTGTTGCTATAATAAGGGTAATAATAGCTAAATTTTACTGGATGCTTATATGCTAGTCACTCTTGTAAATGCTTTATACATATTAATTCATCTATTGCTCCTAAAACCTAATAACTTAAAGCAAGGCACATAACTATTAGGTAGAAGAGCCACAATTTTAAGTGTTTCTCTGGAGCACCCACTGTTAAACAAAAAGCAAGTTCATCTCTTGAGAAATAAATTTTAATATATTCTCAGAAAAAACATTAACCAATCTTTTTGTCTAATAGTTTGTCCAAACCTTAATATAGTCTCAGTTAAAAGTATTAATCAATAGTTTTATCTCATAGTTTGTCTAGGTGGTTTTTACCTATAATGTGATATATAGGTAAATATATGAAACTCATATAATGGTGCCTGAAATTCTATATAAACATGTTATAATTTTATAAGAAATTTAGACTTCCTTCTTTAAATGATAAATACAAAAGAATTTCTTACTATTTTAAATATGAACAAAATATTCCCTTTTCCATATTAGTTTTATAACCTTAACTCATTAAACTCAGTGGAAATATCAATGTTGGTCACATAATTGACACATTTTAAAGTTTTTCTATTCAGTCTTGAAGCTATTAATTTATACTTACTCAAGTCAAATGATTAATAAGAGAAATCTAACTTTAAATATTCTTACCTTAATTAAAAATAGTAACCTGATTGTCACAACAGTGACACAGTAATCATATTTACGTGTAGTATTGTTTAAAATTCCATTTTATGTAGGATTGAACATGAACTCAGTAAAATCTCATTATAAGTGATTGGCATTGTTTCTTGGGGTGCAATGCTTAATCGATTTGACTGCCAGATTTAACTACCACTAGGTGGCACCAAATACAATGGAGAGAAATATGAAAAACATACTTTTCATGCATTTCCTTTATGTGTTCTTCTTTTGCTAGGAGTTCAAATTTCAGAGACTTCGTATTTGATGACTGTTTAGTGAGTTCATTAGTTGCATTCTAGATTAAAAACATATAAATTTCAAAATACCTTTTAATCTTGATATAAAACAAAAGAAATGCTATTTTAAGAAAAAGAAATATAATTACGGCAAAAAAAATGAACATTTTCTATTTTATATACTCAGAAATAATGTAGCCAATACAAAAATTTTTATAGTGGAATTGTATCAAATTACAGTTGCATAGTACATACTCCAAATATACTTTTCGGAAATCTGAATGGTTTTAACAAAATGTAAGTATATGAGTAATTAAAAATCTTAATGGCCCAGTAAGATTCATCCTACAATGAATGCTAGATTTACAAATAAACTACAATTAACTGCCTATGATATCAAATAATTTGCTGCTCCTTCCATCAAGCGGCAAATTCCCTTTCTCACCCTCTCTGAATCTAGTCTGGTCTGGGATTTACTTTCACTGAAAAAAATGTGGCAAAAAAGACATCATGTAAGTTTCAAATCCTGGACCTTAAAGCATTGTGATTTACCTTTTGCATTCATGGAATGCTTTGCTGAGATCACCTTGCAGTGAAAACGACTGAAAGAAATGTCATGAGGAATAGTACTAGCAGACAATTAGCAGCCATGTGAATGAGAGCCATTTTGGACCTTACAGTCAGGTAAAGATTCTCTTGGTTTAGAAGAATGCAGACATCTGAGAGAACTCAGAAGAAAATAGCAAAAGAAATAATAATATAAATAATAAATTGCTGTTATTGCTTTAAGTTATGATATTTTAGGATAGTTTATAGCAAACAACAGATGAGTGATAGAGAATTATATGAATACTAAGCACTTCATCATTTGAACCTATTAACAGCACTAATTAAGTATTTATACGTAATTACTATATTTGGAAAAAGCACTTTGTGGTATTTATTGTCTGCACCACATAGAAGCCAGAGGTAACTATAATGTTAAATACCTGACTTTCAACTTTGATTCAAGTTCCAGTTAAAGTTATGCATATATATATTTATATATATGTATATATAATCTGTAAGTTATTGTTTGATCTCTGGCCATAAAAGAAATGCAAATCAAAACATTGAGACCTAGTTAGAATGGCAATTATCAAGTAGTAACAGACGCTGGCGAGGATGTAGCCAAAGGGGAACACTGTTAGTGGGAATGTAAATTTGTTCAATCATTCTGGAAAACAGTATGGAGGTTTCTTAGAAGACTGGCATTTTTCCAATTGACCACAAACCAGACCACACTCAAGCTACCAGCACTACCATGTTCATTGCAGCAGTGTCTCATAGACAAGATATGGAATCAGTCTAGATGTCCCTCAGTGAATCAATAGATAAAGAAAATGTGGTATATATGCACAATAGAATTCTATGCTTTAATCAGAAAAGAATGATATTGCCCTATTCATAAGAATATGGAAAGACTTGGAAAAATTTACATTAAGCAAAGTAAGACAGATCCCAAGAAACATAGGTTGCATGGTTTTCCTCATTTATAGTAATTAGAATGTACCTATAAATCTATTAATAAACACAATGTATGGTAAAAGAAAAAAATTAACCTTGGACATGATAAATTGAACAGGACTCTAAACATTCACAGTGAGACCGAAGGAGGATATTCTTAGGAGAGGATCACAAAGACTCAATAGCTATGTGTCTATGATCATATAAATGATGTTTATTGAAATGAACTCTGAGAAATAGAACCAAAGGGTTTTTTTGTTATTTTACCCCTCCCACCCTTTTTGCTGCTGTTTTTTTATTTCTGTACTTTTTGCATTGTATGTAAATTTATCTATTGTAGGGAGGGTAAGGGGGAGCACAGAAATGGTGGGATAAAACATGAACAAATATAGCAGAGGTACTCATTAAACTCTAAGCTGAAAAGGAATTACACAAATTGTGGGGGAAGGGAGTCTGAAGTAAAAAACTGGGAGAAAATGAGGGAAGAGGTGACAATATTCAGAAAGAAATGTACTCATTACCTCACCTACGTAACTGTAACCACTCTGTACATCACCTTTGCAATAAAAGACAATAAAGATACTGTTTGCATACATTAATGCATTTGTTAGCTTTAACAAGCATTAAACTAACATACATAGAATAAAACATAACTCAATATAGTTAAAGAAATTATTTCACTAATCTTTCTATACTATAAGGAGTATTGTGAATTTCTTTAGCATAATATTTAATTGTGCTGAATTTATGAATATTAAGAGATGAAATAATTAATCATACAAGGTCACCTTTAAGTGTCTAACTGGTATAGTCATGCAAATTTAAAATTGCAAGATTTTTAATTTTCCATGAAATCTAATATTAATTTCTTTAAGAACTACCTCAACATGATTTTTGTTTCTTTTGGTGCTAATTCTAGGAGTTGAACTCAAGGGTCTGAGCACCATCTCTGGGATTCTGTGCTCAAGCTTAGTACTCTTAAGTTACTATTCTACTTTCAACTTTTTGTTGTTTAATTGGAGATTAGAGTCTCAAAGACTTTCCTGCTTGGGCTGGCTTTGAACTATAATCCTCAGATCTCAGCCTCCTGAGTTGCTAGGATTACAGGCATGAACCACTAGCACCCAACTCAATATGACTACTTTTGAATATTACAAATTTTGATTGTATATGTTCAACATAATATAAAATTTCACAATGCTTTATATGTCCTATTCTAGCATTATCAAAGATTCTACAATCTTAGTGAATTTTTCAAGTAACAGAATATTTTTCTTAATCATTCATGTTTATTGAACTCCAGGAAATGGAAAAAAACATTAATCTTAAATTCCCTCTGGATTGTTCCTTTTGTTAGAATTATAATTATTCATCATTGTGCTAGGCTAACTATGAGATGTCATCTCAAAAACCAAAGCTGATTACCAGTGGTACTAGCCTATAATCTTAGTTACACAGGAAGCTGACACCTAGAGAATCCTGGTTAGAAGCCGGTCCAGGTAGAAAAGTCTGCGGAGACTCCATCTTAATCAGCAAAATGTTGGATTGAAGGCATAGCTCAAGTAGTAAGTAAAGGGTAAGTAAAGGGGGTACATGAGGACTGTAGTTGAGCCTTAGTACAGGCACTAACAAACAAGAAACAAACAAGCATCTCATGGTAGGGATGTTGCTTAGTGCTAGAATGTTTGCCTAGTATGCATAAATCCCTATTTTTCATTGTATTATTCCAGCATTTGGGAGGGTGGAGCAAAAAGATTATTGGTTCAAGAGGCTAGGGCGAGCTTCACAGTAAGTTCTAAGTAACCTGAGCTACAAAGTGAGACCTTGTCTCAAAATAAAGAAAGAAGAGAATAAAACAATAAGTATCTCAGTTAATGACATTTTTTAAACTATTAATAATAAAGCCAAATGTTTTCAAGAATGACATAATCACCTATTTTAAATTTTACCCATTTGTAATCATAATTTTTGTAATATTAGCTGTCTATATCTATATGACAATTCAATATTCTAAAACCCTTTAACTCTCATAATTATTACATTATGTCATTTAGATCACACTCTGCATTTACAATCACATTTTCCTTTCTAATGACTCTCATTATGACTGTAGTCCTATTGATAGCTTCCACAAAGCAACCTTCAACTGAAGAAAATTATTAAATGTGAAAAAAATGAGATTGTTTTAAGCAGCAGCATGAAAACAAACTTGCTCATCTGAAATGCATGGATCCTGTTTCTTACGAGACTTTGTCTATTTCAGCTGTCTATTTCATTAGATATAATTCTTTATAAACAATAACAAAAATGAAAACACTACTTTTATTCTCACTCACAGGTTCAACTTGCTAAAATCAAACCTATCCATCTTTGATATCTGCTGCTTTTCCCTTTCCCACTTCCCTTCTCCTTTTCTGACTACAATACAAAAACAAACTAAACAAGTAGTGTGTAGAAAATTATTCTATTTGTGTTGATTCAGTATGTTTGGAAGTGCTCTGTTCATGTGGATAAAAACATAAGGATAGGGAGAAGACAACAGCCAGATCCCATTTGCTCCTATGTTAGGATTTCATTGTGTTGGATAATTTCTTCCAACCAGAGAACATCACTGTGAGTAACAGGAATGTATTAAGCTAAAACTGAATTATGAAGTCAAATGTAGTATTTATATTTTTGGATTATGTATATTATATTATACCTTTGTTAGAATAAACTAGAGTTCATATAAAATGTCTTTAAAGACACAGCAACTTAACATATCTTTTCATGCTTGATACACTTTATCATCACCTTTAATTTACATTGCAATTGCTTCAGTTCCAAATCCATGCTTTTTGAAGAAGCCAGTGATGTAACATGTATCTGTGGAGCGGCTACTCGGGAAACTTCTCCCAAACTTGTGACTTCAGACGAGGATTCCAATTTCTTCAATAAATCTTCTTTTTCTTTTCGAAGCCCACACAAATCCACATTTAGTTTCTTGAAAAAAAAGAAATAAAAATATTATGTGTAATGACATTAAATGTAAATTAAATGTAATCACTATTAATTTAACAACTGTCAGCATATAATTCTAAAGGCAGGGATATGCTAAACAAAATTCAGTATAGAAATAGTATCATGAAAAGACTTGGAAAAAAATCATATTAAGTGAAGTAAGCCAGATCCAGAGAAATACAGGTCCTAAGGTTTCCCTCATTTGCAATAATTAGTATATGTCTAGGATCATTTTATCAGATGAACAGAAAGGCTCAAAAGCTATGTATATATGACTATATAAGGTGATACTAAGCAAAATGAACCCCAAAATATGGACACAAGAGGTTTTACTTTGTTGTTGTTTTTAATGTATTATGTGATTTTTTTTTGTTTCCTTTGTACATTCTTCCCCCTATGGTATAGCCCCTGTTGTCATGGTATGTGATTTTGGTACCCTGCACCTTGTATATACACTGATCTAATTTGGGGAAGGGAAGCAGAATAACAAAACGCTGAAACAAAGACACAGAATGACCCATTGCAACAATGATACAAGACACTATGTTGGAAATGAACTTTACAACATGAGGGAGGTGGAGGAGGGAAGGGATAGTGGGAGAACAACAAAGAAGGGGGTAACAATGCTTGAGAAGAAATGTACTCATTTCCTTACTCATGTAACTGTAACCCCTTGGTACAGCATCTTTCCAGTAAAATAAAATTTTAAAAAAGAAATAGCATAAAAATCCTTTACAACTAAAGAATCTCTCGTTTCTTTTTCTTGGAGTTCATTTCATAGTATATGATCATATATGTACATGGCTATTTGAGCCTTTGCTAATTTTGTTTTCTTTTCATTTTGCTTGGATAGGATATGGGAGGGCATATTAAAGGTAAAACAGGGATGAACAAATACAACACCGATACTCACTAGACATTATGTGGAAAACGAACTAGATATCTTATGGGTGGGAACAAGAGGGAAGGCCTGGGAGAGAGTGATGGAAGGAGATACATGGTTCAAAAAGAATTGTACAGTGGCGCTGTAGCTCAAGTGGTAGAGCGCTAGCTTTGAGCTGAAGAGCTGAAGGACAGTGCTCAGGACCAGAGTTCAAGTCCCATGACCGACAAAAAAAAAAAAAAAAGAATTGTACTCATTACTTACTACCTGATTCATGTAACAATAGCAATAAAAAAGTGAAGTAAAAACTTTACAAAAATTCTAACCTCTACTAGGTTTTGCTTAAGTTCATAAAGTTTGTTAAGTTAAAACAAAAAGAACCAGCTGTATCCCATGTCTTTTGCTTGGCTAGTCTTTATTCATGATGCACTATTTCTTTGTCTTCACATATAGATAGTGAGCCAAAGATTCACATATTTGATAACTTTGACTTCAGGGCTGATGTACTTTACTTGGTAAAAGCCAAGCTGGAGCAGGACAGGGTAACAGATGTTACTTGTTTATTCCACTGGGTAGGACTTACTACATTACAGAGCAGCCAAAATGCTTCTCATTTAGCAACATAAATGTTAAGTCCAATTAGCAGACGAGGCTTGTTAGGGATTTAGTTCAAATAAATAGCATGGCAAACAAACTCACTCAGTTTTATGTACTTGATTGATAGTTCACAAGCTGTGATTGTAATACTGAGGTAGAAATGTATTAAACTCCTACCACTTGAATTTTTAATAACCTAAATATTTTGCTAAACAGCACACAAGGAATGCTTTTTTGAAGGATTATTAATAAACCATCTCCTGTTCATCAATTTAGTTTCAGCATAATGTCACCAAATTGTACTAGTATAACAACTCCAAGCACCTTGAGAGGATACCTAACTATACTATCATTTTATCATTCTAAAGGAGCGTGTAATATGAGAGAGCAGCATAAGGAACGATTAGACAAAATGATACTGAAAGTCCTCAGAGGGAAAAATCTTTTTGTAATGAGTTTAAATTAGAAATAGCAAAAGATGTAGCTCAAGTATACAGTAATATATAATATAGGATATTTCTTAGGAACTAAGACTATACACATAAACACAACTTATAGAAAATGATCTCAATATTATTGGGATACTGAAACAATATTATTGTCCAAAAGGTATGAAATAATTAATATTTAAAAGAAAATGCAGCTTCCTTAAATATGAAAATGTTGCTGGTGTAATTCAAGCTTAAAACATTCTCCTCCCTATTTGTTAATTCTCTAAATCCAATCAATTGTCAGGTTCCATAAATCATGCAATATATATTCATTTCTTTCTGCCATGGTCATAATAAAGTCTCAGCTCACTTAAACTATTACAAGAACCTCCTCTTCCCTCAAACTTTCCTTCAGTTTCTAACATTGTCTTAAACAAAAATCATCTATTACCCAAGAGAACAAATCTCAGATGTTTGGGAATAATAGAGCTTTCTAAGATTTAGCTTCAATTGGTTTCCCAATCTGACAGCATAAGAAGTCAAAACTGCCTGCCTTCTATAAAGTAGTGATTCTATCATGTCTCCTCTTGCTGAAATATCTCTCACTCTTAAAAGGAAATTATATTTTCTTCTTCACAAAGCCATCTTTGTTCTTTATTTCTCCTAATCTTCAGCAAAAATGTAATAAATTTTGAAGAAATGGTTATGCTTTAGTTTCCCTATGTGTTCACCATAATATCTAAAAATAATGATTTACATATAAGACTTACAAATTTCAAAATTCATTATTTGTGGCATGAATGGTACTAACTTCTCTTAATTTAAAAACTCATTTCTTACTTGAGAAATGCTATCAGTGAGAAAGAAGAATAGGTAATTTTTATCTGCTAAGACTACTTTTGTGGATGACCACAAAAAATGTTAATTTGCTATAAAATCTATCAGTAAGATTATACTTAAAATGATTAGTTATTAGTTTTCTTTTCAATCAGTAACATAGTTCCCTTTTGTCTACTATTAGCATTCCAACTCAAATAAAAGACTTAATGATCTATGTCATATTTAAAACAGAAGTAGTAAAACACAGATCGGAGGATCATAATTTCTGGACTATAGTTCTCTAGATCTATTGCTTACTAGCTGATCCTTAAGCAGGCATGTGAAGTCTGGAAGACAGTCTGGAAGACAGAATTTTAAGAATATCTGTGATTGCTCTTGGTAGATTTTAAGTTTTCAGTATTATTGATGATATTGTTATTTTGTAGTAAATGCTATCCTGCAGTCTAAGACATGTCAACACAGAATTAATTAATTCATTTTGTTTAGTATATATAGAGCTACCATTCCTATAATCACTCTCATAACAGAAACTTTAGTTTGTATTTAGGCATAATTACTTTTTCATTCCAATCAGTTAAAGAACATTAATTTTCTATTTGATGTGAAAGTATTCTGTATAATATGTATTCTGTATGGTATGTTCTCCTTTTTCCTATTTTCCAACACTGTAGTCCTTCCATAGACTTCTAGAAGTCTATTTCAATTTAAAACGACTTCAATGAAAGTAAATACTGGATTTGTTCAGATTTCTTTTTAGTCAATTATTTCTAACCAAAAGTTATATGCTAGAACACTATACAAAATTTTTAGATTTATGAAATACAAAGAAAGTACCATATGATGTTATTTACACGTGGTATCTATAAAAGTTGATCTCACAGAAGGTGAGAGTAGACTGGTGTTACCAAAGGCTGCAAGGATGGGTAGGAAGAGATCAGTAACTTGTACTTGGATAAGAGTAGGACACTCTTGTGTGCACAGTAAGGAGACTATAAATAAAAATATGTGTTGAATATGTCAAAAAGAAGACAGGATTTTGAATGTGTCCTCAATAACAAAATGGTAACTGTTTATGCAGACAAATACTACATGTATTGAAATATCACATGGCACCTCATCTATATATATGTCTTTCATGTATCAAGTCTTTAAATTTTAAATACAACATTAAGAAGTTCATGTCCTTAGAAAGGAAAGAATCATTCAAGCAAATCTAAGGAGAAAGAAACACACTTACGCTGAAGAATTTATTCTCAATAATAAGTCATGAGGTAAACACAATTCTCAGGTGACCACCAATGGCCCAGGTCCTGGTATACTATCTCCCCTTAAATGTGGTTGGATTCTAATATGGGCTAACACAATGATTACCTACCATTATATAAAAAGGGATTCTATGAATGTAATTAGGATCCCTAATCAAGTCACTTTAAGATTTCCCTGATTGGTCTAATCAGGTAAGCCCCTTCAAAGAAGGGCTGAGAGGGGGGGAAAGTCTCCTGCTGACTTTGATAAAGTAGTTAACATATTGTGAATGGACTACATGGAAATCTGAAATTTGAGAACTGTCCCTAGCTAGCAACTTGCAACAAAGAAAGGGATTTAGTTCTACAATATAGGAATTAAATTTTTCCAAGAAGCAAATGAACTTGGAAGAGAAGTTTAAACTATATGAAGGCATGAAGTCCTACTGACAAACTGATTATAGCATGTGATTCTCTGAGCAGCAGAACTGATTATCTGTCACAGAAGGAATGAAAGGGCATGTTACTTCTCAATTGCCAGGTTTCTGGTAATTTATTATACAAAGGAAATACAAGACACAGGAGTCATGATGTTTTAAAAAGCATCAGCCCCTTTCTTTAGCCTATTGTTTCTTTAGTGCTACCTTGCCCTCACACAAGTATATTGAATCCTGCAATGTGTAGTTTATATGTGTCCCTCTAGTTCACCTATTTTTTCTTATTCAAGTTTCGTATTAATTTTTTCTTTAAAAATGTTCCATTTTCTAAGCTAGAAATGCAAGTTAATTTTACCAGATCTACATTTGTGGTTTAAATTTACCAAATATAAAAACTCCTGGCAGATGTTTCCTATTTCCATTCTTAATAGTAACTCTAAAATCTCATGAACATGGTAAATATATCTCCCTGTTCCTTTTACAGGAATTCATTTACAAAACACCTTAATATGGGGTTCTAATGGTATTTCCTGGAAGATTTGGGTAGAAA